AATTCTCGGATTTTTCTATAAAGATGCCTTTTTCAGAACACTCTCAATATTGCAGAATGTCAGCTATTGAGGTTGGCAATTATTCATAGATGATTTATATTAATTTTAATATTTATTATTTAATGCATTTGCAACATCGAAACCACGAATTTCCGAAACACATCTTATAACTAGAAAAAATATACCATTTCTCACTTTTTTTTTCGTAATCGCAACTTCATCTACGTATATATACATGTTTATAATTTTATTATTTCTTCTAGTTAGTTGAAAACATTTTTGAATTTGAAAATATTACTTGGAAAATTAATATTTTGGAGATGCCACCAAAGGAAATACTATTATCAAGTGTATCATTCATTTGCAAGGATGAAAAACGTGTATGTGTCGGCATTATACAATATTAATATACATATATTGATAATCATAAATGTTATTGTTTGTTCTCTTATATCATATTCAATTATGGGCGAATTATAATTTAATTCACTATTATTCATTTTACTACAAAAGTTCAATTAGAAATTACATAATAGAAATTATTATTTAAAGAATAATATTACAATTTCTAGGGTGCATTTAAATTTAGTAAATTAAATCAGTCGATTGGACGACCAAATAATATCAAATTTGCAGTTGGAATGATCGTAAAACATAATAAAAATAAAAGTCATGAATCTACAAACGGTATTCGTGGTGTAATAATAGGTTGGCACAAAAATAAATTTGGCCTTAAAAAAATATTCATTAGCGACAGTTACCAATTCGGACACAAAATAATCTTCTACTGCTATCTTAGGCCTTTCAATACTTACGCGTATCATGATTTTCTGAAAGCATTCACATATGAACAACCACATTACATAATTTTTACTAAAAAAAACACACTTTGTTTTATAAATGAAGGTAAAATCATTGAAACTTATCTCTTTTTAGAATATATTTATTAAATTACAAAAACGTTTCTTCTATAGGCAATGTAAAAAAATATTTTATTTTTCTGGTTTATTCCAGACTCTTTATTAATTTAGTTATTCTGTTTATTTTATTTATCATTTTATTTATTACATTTTATTTATTATTTCTTGATACAGTTTATTACTTAATCGTAGTTATCATTAATTCATTTCTTATTTACTTATTTTTTTTTAATTTAGACGCTCTGACTGTAACAACTGGATGGGTCGAAAATTACGAAATAGGACGTTTTTTTGTAAATTCGAAGACACGCATTACGTACCAAATAAAATGATGGCAGAACTTTATCCGCATGATGCCGCTTGATGCCTATAATTGAGGAAAAAAACAATATCAAATACGGTATACAAATGGCCGGCTAACTATAAGCACAAACGCAGTAATTAAAACACGTATATGTACTGTAAATTATACCCATTGTTATTGTAAGTATTATAATGTAAGTATTATCAAAATAGGGCGTACATTTTAATTTGTTTCTGAATCATCTGTAACGCAATTGAATAGTAAATTTAACATAATAATAATATAAATAAAATTACTAACAATTTATTAAAGTGTATTCTTACCTCATACAAATATTAAAAAATAACTTTATTTTAAAACGATAACTCCAAAGTATCACACATATTTACAAGATATATTACAATTTGTAAATCAAAAACTGAATTCTACTAAGAGTCTAATAAGGCTAATTATTTATATTATTAGAATATTATGTCGGAAACAAAATTTCAGCTAATAAATCATTGAAACGATACGAGATTAAGAGTGACAAAAGTTACAAAAACGGATAATATTTCTGATTGCGAACGAGATGTAACATAAATCGATCAAACTATCAAGAAGACTAATTATAAATATATTTATTTAAATACATTATAAATTATATTGTAAAATATTCATTTTGATTACCTTTTTGTTTTTGATCATCGAACGTTCAGTATGTTAACACATGAATAATTTATAATATCGACTCTGTATTATAATATATTGCTGTCATGACAAACTAAAGTTTTAATCTTAATATTTATAATGATTATTCTGCGACATATATAAAACATACTAAGAGGCATCATAGTACTAGGTTTAAAGAACATCGGAATAATATAAAATTAGATATTACTTCGCCTTCTGCTATTAGCAAACATATGATTTCGATTAGAATAGTTTTAATATTTTACATACTAAAAAACATGTAAAGAAGAAAAAGTTGTCAGAAATGTTTTTCATTAAAAAACTAAATAATAACATAAACTCACAAAAGGATACAGAGAGATTAAATAAAATCTACAACAAAATAATTAAGGTTGTATAAAATAAGCTTATTGATAGTTTTAATATATTGCTGACGATCATCGCTGTTTGACACGTTGATTACTGTCTCTCGCTTTTAATTTCTGCTTTTTGTCATAAAGTGTTATAATGTTTATTTCGACAAAAAATGTGAATTTTGCTTATATTTAATTTTATAATAAGTAGTAATATTATAAATAATAATATTATCATTGCAGTTCTGCACTTGGACAGTTTTGTGCGTTTTTTGTTATCATCTTTATAATTTTTGTAATTTTTATGTTTAAAATAATTGTTTATTAGTATAATAAGTGTTTCACTTTAAAAGGACTGCAACCACATGGTCGAATCGTCGTGATAGTTAATAAATTGATTTCTTGCTAGTTTGATTGATTATTTATTATTCCTATTTACTGATTAGCGATTGAAAACAATTACGCGTACAATTTTCTTTGCCTATCCTTTTCAAAAATCTCTAAAGATCAAAACAAGCATTATTTGAAGACTTTCAAACCAAAAAACTTTTAATGTTTCCGCAAAGAAGGAAAATTTTTCTAAAAAGAGGCTGCTTATGAAAATGTTCACATTACTCATGTATATATATATATATATATATATATATATATATATATATATAAATATGTATATTATAAAACTACTTGAATTCTTTAAAAATCTTAGAAATGTATGTAAGCTTCATGTATGCGATGTTGAACAAAAATAACGCTAAAGTATTTAAGTGCAAAACGATGTTTTGGGATAATTAACTTACAGGAATTTAAATTGTACGAAACAAAGATCAAACTTTTTATTTTGGCAGGTACAGAACACATTTTTTTCCCACTTTTTTGATTCAAAAGTAGACGATCAAAAGAGTGGTAATAATAAAAACAACAAACTTAGACTATTATATTAAATTAGACGCGAATCTTTAAAAATATTCAAATTGCAAAAACGTATTTATTGCAACATAAAAAAGTACGATTTTTTTTTAAATATGACGCTTTTCTGCTTTAATGCTATTCCGTATTCATCTATCTTTTTCTATCTTAAAGGCGCATAGATCGAATAGAAGTATTGAACTTCCTTTCCCATTTTCGTGGTTTCTTTGATTCATATAGTCACGTGACAACTCATGGTGGGAGAAACCATAAAAGAGTCTCGATTCTGTAGCTAGTATGGGTTTTCAGGTTAGAAAATAAGGATAGGACATAGTTTGGAATTCTCTATTATATAGTAAACATAAGATTTGCATTTGTACTCTCTGCAATCGGTAAAAAAACAGTATTACGGTAGATTTTTCATACGTTCAGACAATAAATTAATTGTACGGAAATATTGTAATGGCTTCGATACAGTTATTATCTGAAGAGGTGATAACCATCATTCTTGGCTGCAATAATATAAGTATTGAGGATATTGTGAACTTTAGATGCACGTGCAAGCAGTTCCAGTGGGCAGGCGAATCCAAGAAGTTTTGGCAAAAAAAATATTTGCAGAGGTAACTCCGCTTGTTGAGACCTTAAAAGATTATGTAAATTCTATAAAGTTCAGAGAATATTATAAAAATATTGCAGTCGTAGTATGTTTATCAAATGTTTTGTGAATGTACACAATATATACTCTTGAGATATTCTCCGAATATTATCAATTTGTATTTGTTCCCTCATGACTTATTGTTTTGAACTAATATTTATAGTTATAAAATTAATATTTTTTATTTCACTTTAATATTTTTTATATTTTTATATACTTTTATGTATTTTGACAGACACATTGATCCAAAAATAAGATCGAAACGTATCCATAAATAAAAAATAACTTTTACAAGAAAATATTTACTTATATATACAAATTACAACGCCAGGTTTATTAATTAGCACATTTTTATTCAATTGTTTTAGTTTATTGTTGCTATTTCATTAATTAGTTTTGTAAAATAATATTTAAAAATATAAATCAATGATGATGTGAATTTTTAACTTGATATCCTTAATAACTCCAAATTGTAGTAAATTATTTTAAATATTTTACTTATTTGTTTAAAAATTATTAATTATTGATTTATAATTATTAAATTTTGCAATTTTAACATTTAGTTGTATATAAACATTCAAAAAACAGATAATAAATTATTCACACAATATAAAAAAGCAATTATAAAAATTTGATTTTGTTATATCATGTTCTTCAAACATGTAAAAATGTTTTTTACCAAGTTTTAAACTGTTTTTAAATAGTGCTTAAATAATGTAGGTCCTTAAATAATAGAATTGTCAAACGATATATATACTGCTCTGTCAACTGTTTTAGTATAAATAATCTAAAATTTTTTGAAGGTTGTGCATTTGTTGCAATAAGACAAGAAGATTGACATTTTGATCGATACTTTCTATATATTATGCATTTTAAAAGATGTATTATTCCACAACTTTATTAATAATACAATAGCATTGTTTATAATGGAATTTTCAAAACTTTATTAAAATATTTTCTGTTTCAATTTTAGATGGCCTAATGCGAATAAGGACTGGTATAAACTTCTCGAAAAAAGTACAAAAAATGAGCAGGAGAAATCTAAACTAAAACAGCAGTATACAAAATTTTACTTTGTAAAATTGGGAATCCATAGTGCACGTTTTATAAAAAGAATTGTGTCTATACTAATTAATAAACATTATACTATCAATGATACAATAGATAATTTAATAGGTTTTGAAGAAGTATTCAATGTTAAATGTATGAATACAATAAATGATATTTTTAATATATTCAGAAGTGGACCACGTGATCTCACAATGATTGTTTTTCTCATTGATGAAATTAGAACCTGCCTGACTCGATTTTTACGGTAGATTTTAATATATCAATAATGTTATATATAAAGATTATAGAGACTAATGAACTTTGCACAGTTAATTTGGAACTTTTTTTTAGAAAAGATTGCGATCTAACCAAAAGATATTGCTTTAAGAAAATGTTTCACTTTCTGAGGCAATGTTTGGTGAATGCAAAGTGGGAAAATTAAAAAAAAAACCTCACAGCAAGCAACTTATAGAACGGATGGCTACTATTGTGGCCCAATGGCTTCAGCCTGAAAAAGAAGTATTATTCTCGTCCATAAAAGCATCATTAAATAATATCAAACAAAAAGTACTGAATCAGCTAAGGAACAAATATCCCGACCATTTAATATTCTCTACGTCCGCCGATAAATTTTTATATTGGGAAAACAACAATATCGACAATAATTATTGGAACGAAGCAGAAGGAACCCAGATCATGGATGCACTTCAGGAATATTTATTTGATGACTTCAACTTTCAACAAATGAACTCAGAAGACAAAAAATTGGAACACAGTTGTATAGATAATGTAAGTTATTATAAATTAAAATACATAATAATAATGACTCCTCAATTATTATGCTTATATACATATTTATATGTGCTCGTTATATATCTTAAAAACACTTTCTCTCTCTCTATCTATCTCTCTCTCTCTTTCTCTCTCTCTCTCTCTCTCTCTCTCTCTCTCTTCCTCTCTTCTTTTCTTTCTTTACTTAATTCTCGTAATTTTTTAAATAGGTCGTAGAAAATAAATGTGGTCGAAACGTAATTTTCTCAATAATATATCACAGTGTGGCCAGAAGACTTGGTTTACGATGCGATATAAGAACAAATAATTTAGCACTAATAATATATTGGAAACCCGATTAGTAAGTAATATATATTAATATTAAATTAGGAATTATCTGAATTTTATTATTACACACACGCACATACACCAATGCACATATATTACATTTTGTTTTTAGTGCCACGAACAGCTTACAAAATGTAAGGTGTATTAACATATGTATTCATCGCTACATTTGTCGTAGCGAATATTCTATAATTCCAATTGATGAGGTTGGTAATTATTTGTATATAATTAATATTAATTTTGACACTTTTTAATTAATAAATTTGTAATTTTGGCAAAAATACGAGTTATACAAACACACTTTATAAGATGGAGAGAATATACATTTCTCGTTTTCTTCTTTTGTAATCATAACTTTGTTCTTACGTAATTTCACAATCTTTTTATTTTTAAGTTACTACTACTAATACTACGTGTATTTGAGGATCCACCCTATTACAATAATACTTTCATGCAAACACCACGTGAAATACGTAATTATAGAGAATCCATTCATGAAAGGAGTAACCAAGAGGTGTGTAAATACTATTCATACTACGTTAATATATATATGTCAATATAATATATATATATATATATATATATATATATATATATATGTGTGTGTAAAATAATATCAATACAAGTTTTAAATTCTCTTTCATAACATATACGTATAACTGTGCACAAATCGTTATTATTTATATTCCTTTATAAATTATATCTCTAATTGAATTAGCTGTAATTGAACTTGCTCTGAATGTTTATTTATAAATTACTTAAAAGGAAATATTATTTAAAATTTAATATTACATTTCTCAGAGTATAGTTTACTCTGATATAGAAAGACAGATAGATGAAAAACCGAAATTTGTGATTGGAATGATCGTAGTACATGAGTGTAAAGGTGAATGTTATCACACTATCGTAGTACATGAGTGTAAAGGTGAATATAATGACACTAATAAACGTAAACATAAAACCAATACTGCCGGTGTAATAGTCGGATGGTACATTAATAAACACAAAATTACGTTTGTGAAAAATGAAACAATGTACTCTCGTATGCACTTCAACACTTGTTGTAATTTGGGAGATCCAGATGACCTTATACATTACATAATTCTTACGGAAAATAATGAAATGTGTTGTGTAAATGAAGGTATGAATATTATTAAAAGCCTATTGATTTTTAATTTTTATCTTTGTTCAATATGCCAGCTTATCTCTTTATACACAAAAAATATATGTATATATATGTTTTTTTTATTATATTTTCTTTATTATTTTAGTTATTTTATTTATTTTAGTCATTATATTTTATTTATGAGTTGTTATTATATTTTCTTTATTATTTTAGTTATTTTATTTATTTTAGTCATTATATTTTATTTATGAGATGTATTTTTGTTTCATTATTTAATTTTAGTAATCATTAATTTATTTTTTAATCGCGTTTTTTTAATTTAGACGCCCTGACTCTGACATTTGCATGGATCGAAAATAGTGAAATAGGTCGATATTTTAACCAATTCAAAGGCACACATTACGTGCCAAATAAAATGTTGGCAAAACTTTATCCACATGATACCGCTAAAATTGCCACCCGACATGGTAAAAATGTGGCTACTTATAAGCAGCAGTGCATTACTAACAAATAACGATTCGTCGAATCGACGTCGCCTCAACATCGAATCGACCAATTCGTCGTCGATTCAACATCGAATTGACGTCGAATTGACTATCATTTCGCGCTGAGTAATTAGAGCGCGTAAATGTTATAGTAAATTAAAATTATTATAATACAATAGTAATATCAAAAAAAAAGCATTAAGATTTTGGGCATCCTTGCGTAACGAGTTAGTAAATTTTAGAAAATTATATTAGAAATAATATCATAGTTAGAATAAAATTGCTAATTACAATATATAGTTATAAATGTAATTTCATTTATTCATTTATTCAAGCAAACAATTTTTTCTCTCTTACGTTATCTAAGTAGTATAATGATTTTAAAATGACAAGTATATTTAGATTATTCTTATTATATGTATATCTTTCTAAATATTTTTGTAATAAATAAATTATAATATTTTGTGTAAACAACTTAAGAGTCTTTTTTACACATATATGTACACACAACTACAATTATTATATAATTTATCATTTTAATATTATAATTTTGTGTAATTCTAATTGTTTTTAAATATATTAACTTTGAAAAAGAAAATTGGTACAATTTTATAAAATATTTTGGAAATTTTTATATATATATTCATATATATTGGATTAAATTTGCTGAAAAACTTTAATTAACTGTTGAAAATTACTTTCAAAAAAATTATATAATTATTTGATATGGGCAATGTCTCAATGTTTGATATAGCAATGAGACATACATATGTCATTTGCCTATATCTCCTTTATATGTAGGTGTACATTTGACTTAATTAAAATTGAAGATTTTTTTGAATAAAAAATTAACTTTTTCTTTTAATATTTAAATTACATCGATATCGCTATGCCAAATTTTTAGAGTGTTTAATTTTGAAGTGATTTCTTAGTTTCCAATAAAAATAATTATAAAAATAAATAATACATGTCATTAAATAATTGAAATAAAATTGTCACTAACCAAATTAAAAAATGACATATTTTGATCTTTTTGAGGCAAATTTTGATCACTTTTCTACAGATTAGACAAAACTACAAACACATTTACCGTAAGATTATATGTATAACTTATGTTACATTTCTCATTTTATCTATCCATTTTTTCAAAGATCTTGAAAGATCTAAAACGGATATGCATTATTTGAAAGACTCTTTAAACATCAAGAAATTCTTAAAGTTTTCGCAAAAAAAAAGTTCTTCTAAAAGAAGACTACTTATAATAATGATTACATTACTTATATATAAAAAAATAAAACTCTTCTTTCGACCGTACTGGCAAATATTATTTATTAAATCACAATTAACGTTTCAACTCTTCTTTGAGTCCTTATCAAGTGATCTAGATATACATAGAGAAGAAATACAGTACAGAGATTAATATAATAAAAAAAATTACTTCAAAAAATTACTTAACAATATTACAAAATAATAAAAAAAAAGCGAAACATACTTGTGAAATTAAAACAAAATTATAATTTTAAGATGTCAAGAACGAATATAGTGTCGGTTCGACAACACGTCAAGACTCTTAGACGAGTTACGACCCAGCAAACGTCGATATATAATTGTTACATTGCTATAATTAAACGGAATATAACAGATAATATAACGTGCACGTTACGTGTAACATCCATGTTAGTTGTAATTTCCCACTCATAGATGTAACATTTTAATATAACATATATTACATTATTACATTGTAGTTGTATTGTAATTATATACTAAATAGCACATTGATATATTGATAAGTCAGTGCTTTCTTGGGATATAATGACAATATAAGTACAATGTAATATTTGTAATATTAAAAATGTTATATTTATGAGTGGGAAATTACAACTAACATATACGTTACATGTAATATGCTTAAGTATATAACATTTATATACTGTGTTTGCTGAGTGCCTTAAAATCAGTTCAGTGAATGATCAAACGGGACATTACGGACACTGACATTTCGAATTTGATTCAACGATTGTCAACCGAGAAGGGAATCAACAGTTTGCGCAAGCTGCTTGATAGTGATACGACATCAGAAGATTATGTAGATTTCTCGTGGCCGATTTTCCAAGTGGAGAGATACCTGAAAATTCGCGAACTGTTGGAAGCTCTGGGCGCCAAACAATTATTGAAGCTTGACGCAATCGATTTATGGTAAACGTTTTTGAAGAGAATCGTCCTAGCAGTGTGCACCTTGGCGGTGCCGTAAATCGTGGTGGCGTTTAAATCACGGAAGAGTGCATCATTGCGGATGCGGTCACCGTATTCTATACCGGACAAGAGTCTTTTGTGAGCACCAAGTATGACAACGCGAATCATAACTATCCGTTCGTTTAGCTGATCTATGACAAACGACAAAGAAAAAAATATTCTCTTTGTCGGATGTTATAATAAATTCGCCGAGTTCGCTTCTCAAAATTAAATAGATACTTTACACACAATCAGATACAAATTTGAAATGTGGAATGAATTAATTGCTAATTGAGCAACAGATTCTTAATTATATAAGGCTTTGTGGTATTCACTTCGACCTATTAATTTGTGAAAATTTTTGCGTGTCGCATTTTTAAGAGTGAAAAGATATTTTCGAAACATAACTTTAAATGACTTTAGTATACTTTTAAGATATTTTTTATTAAAATAATTTTTATTTATTGACATAATAAATAAATAAAAGTTTTTAAATTTTGATTTAATATTTTTAAATTAATTCTATAAACAATAAGAATCTTATACATAATCATTAAAATTGATTATTTTTAAATATCTTGTGGATAATCATAAAATATTTATTACAATAATTAATAAATTATTAATTTAAAGTATAAGACAGGCGATAAGAGCCGATCGCGGAAGACAGTGCGTTATCCCAACGAAACTAAATTTTTTCGTTGGAATTAAATATCTGTGCACAAGGCACCAAATTTTACTTGGTCACTGCCAAGATTTTAAATCTCAACTATGAGATTATTTCATGTTTTAAAAAAATCTTGGCAGTGACCAAGTAAAATTTGGTGCCTTGTGCACAGATATTTAATTCCAACGAAAAAATTTAGTTTCGTTGGGATAACGCACTGTCTTCCGCGATCGGCTCTTATCGCCTGTCTTATACTTTAAATTTATATTTATATGACAGAGCCTTGTTAAACTCTTAACTTAATAAATTATTGTTAGATCACGAGATTGCTATGATATAAATTATAATATTACATAAAATCAAATATGTAACAGATAAGGAATCTTGCAATTGTAACTTTTACATTTTTATATAAAAATGTTTATTATATTGAATTACTGAAATACTAATAATTAGAATATTGTTTGCTTTTATTGTGCTATATATTCAATATTATCTGATAATAATAATCTATAAATATTCAAATGTGGTTTATACATATATGTCTATTATGATTTTGCATATTGTAATGATTAATATGTACATTATGTATACATATATCAATTGTATATGTATATTTAGACTGCAAAATTTTGTAATATTGTAAGCATATACGTTTTTTTAGAAATTAATTTTTTGCGTTACAGTTTCTGCACTTTGTTATGCGTAGAATAATAATATTGCTATTATATTTAAATGATACAAATGTTTGCTGCATAATTAACTGTATGATATTATTTTAAGAAATACAATAATGAGGAACTTCTGACAATTCATTAATTCATGTTTTTGTTATTAAAACGCCTAGGAAAATAATATCGCAAAATTAATTATCGATTAGTCATGAGTTATAAGAAATTAGATCATTAAATGTAATAACAATTTTTCAATCTTATAAAAATGTTGCGTGCATTATACAATTTACGCGAAACGGGCATATTTATATATTAATTTTATATTTAATATTGGGCATTTTTATATATTATATCAATATAAAAGTTATATATATATATAACGGTACTGGAACGTTAATATTATTATATATAATTACAAATGTTGTAAATTTTGTATTTATTTTTAAACTACATATGTATCTCGAAATGTATTTTTGAATCTTTTATTTTCAAATTTAGAAAAATTTTTACAAAACATATTTGTATACACAGTACCGAGTAGTAACTTTTAATGGATTTTTGTAGCAAGTTATATTATAACTAATTAATTTATAAATAATTACATTTCATGTATAATTGTATATGTTATAACAGAAAATACTAAGAAACTTTCATTTTTATTATTATACATTAATATACGATATGTGTAGTGTTGACATATCCTTTTCTTTGGCCGTTTTTATTACATAATTATTTTCTATATAGAATGTGCTATTTCATCTTGTTTAATTATTCAAATACTATTATAAAAGGATAAATCCTCAAATATATTTACAATAACAATTAAGAGATAAAAATAAACGTATGGAAAAAGCTAATAAGCTCACAAAAGAGAATGTGGGAAGTTTATATACTTTCTTGAGAATAAAAGCTCTACATTAAATGTGCAGGGTTTCCTGTAAGTCGAGATCAATAACTCGATAACAACGCATTTTTTGAGCTATATGTTTATATTAACTTTTTTTCTTGTTTTTGAATTCCCATTCATTTTTTGAATGATTGTCTTTGACTTGTGGGACACTTTACATAATGAGAAATAAATTGGCTATAAGAGCTAAGGAGTATACATATATTAAGTTTCTAATGATAAAGTATGCTTTAAATAGCTCGTATTTTTGTCGAAGCTACAAATATATTAATTAATAAGTGTTAAAATTATTACAAATTATATATGACTTAGGATAACCATTAGTTTCGAATAACTGATTATTTCTTTCTGAAGAGTGCTATTATTAATTATAAATTTTAGCAAAAAATTTGGCGTTTTAAATATACATAAATTCTGTTTAATTTAAAGATAAAAGATCTCGTCTTATTGGACACGACAATAATATATATACAAACTAATTATTTTTTAGAAATTAAAAGTGTAAGACAGGCAATAAGAGCCAAATCGCGGATGACAGTGCGTTATTCCAACGAAACTAAAATTTTTTCGTTAGAATTAAATACCTGTGCACAAGGCACCAAATTTTACTTGGTCACGGCCAAGATTTAAAATTGGAATAATCTCTACAAAAGATTTAATTCCATACATCTTGGCCGTAACCAACTAAAATTTGGTGTCTGGTGCACA